TATCTTCTTTTCTTGGTTTTCTTCTGAATTTGTCTTTTTTATATTGCTTTTGTTTTTCAGATTTTGACATTACTAATGCCACTTGTTCATTTGTATTGCCTTTCTCATGACTTTTAAATTCTCTTTCATGAGAGCAAAGCTGTGTTGTTAACTCATCAACTGTTCTTTTGTCTTCACCCAAGAGTAACCAACTTGACTTAAACAAATGGTATTGTTCTGGTAAGACATCTAAAATCTTGCAATTGAGTAGCATGTCAGGTAACTTATTTTCATTTTTCTTTTCAAGTCCTGAATTCAACTCATTCCATAAGTTTTTTAATTTGGAAAGATGAGCCGCCATATTATCATTTTCATTCCACTTGAATTGAAAAAATTGCATGCATATATTATACAATTGATTTTCTGATGATGCTTCAAATAACTTATGTAATTCCAACCACACTTCTCTAGCAGTCTGAAATCTCATAACTTTTTGCAGAGTTTCTTCCGTCATGGAATTCGTTAATATAGCACTAGTGTTTGCATTTTGAAACTTCTTAACAGCTTCATTATATTTCTCTTGTTGAACAATCGGAGCATCTACAGGAAGAATTTCTGGTTTCACTATAGTTCCTTCTACAATTTCTAAAGCACCAGGATGATAATTTAAAACAAATTTTATCCTGTATTTCCATATAAGCCAATCGCTTTCCCTGATAAAGGCTTTACTTGGACCTTAGATAATTCCATACTTTGATTTCTAAACAACTTTCGATTGCTATAACGAAAACAAAACACTTACTTGATTAGGCTTAACGAGTTCCGTTTCTTCGAGAAAACATCAATTCAAAACATTTGACGCAATATGGGAGCTTGCTTGACCCATAACCTAAAAAAGTATTTCTTAAAAAATACATAACCTAAAAAGGTATTTCTAAAAATAGAGAAAACAAACAGCAGAGCAAAAATACGATGCTTTTTATTGGAATTACAAACTATAGCAATTTTTGAACGACAGTATCGCGAAGCACGATCTCCTGATGATGACAACACTCACTGTTGCCAGAACTTATCTAAATTATATATTATATTATTATTATTTTTATTAACATACTTTAATACATAAAACTTTAAAAATTTTTCTTCAAGTTCTTTTCCCTTTAAAGCTTTCAAACGTTTTTACTTCTCTTTTCTGCTCTTCCTTCCTTTTTTTTCTTTCAATGTATTTTTCAGGCTTCTTCTTACTTTTATTATCATTACATCTGGGAGAATCTTCAATCATCCTTGGATACCGTTAAATGAATTTTTAATTCGGCTCTTCAAATTGGAAATTATACTTAAGTTTAAACAATTTTTGCTTTTACACATCTTTTTCGTCATCACTCAGCACTGCAATATGTGTTCCTTCAGAAGTGGTAATCTCAACTTTTTTATATTTTCCTTTACCCTTCTTATCTGATATATTTCTCATTCTCATACAAGGTTTGGATCATTCCTGGACTTCTTCAAAAAGGAAATTTCTTTCTTAACATCTTTTGGTACTTCATTTCTTAGCTTTCAACCATTTTAAATAATCGGCCTCATCATCTTCCTTTTTTTTCTTATTTTTCTGACGGACTTGCAGTAAATCATTTGCATCATCCTCTTCCTCTTCATTAGAACTAACAGGAATATCTTCATGAGATCGTTGTATTTCATCAACATTTTACGTTGTTTATTTTAACATAAACAACGTAAAATTGTTACCCTTTGAAGTCTTCAAATATACACTTTATAATCTGATTCGAAGGTAAGGATAATCCAACTTTAAGAGGCCATTATTCTACACTGCTGGCCTCCCAAATTGCAACACCAAGGAAAACAAGAGATATCACAACAAAATTTATTTAGTAGCTAACACGTTGACGAAGTATCAGATGATTCAATTTATAGACTTCTGTGAAGTGTGGTTCCTTCCAGAATCAGTAGCCAGAGTAGCCGCCATTGTTGGAGATCACCGCTGCCACACGCCTCGGCATTGATTCAAAGAGGGTTTGGATGTGTTCTTGGGGTACAGCAGACCAAGCAGCTTCCACACTTTGCCAAAGTTGATCTGGTGTGACATACCTGCTATAATATGCAGTTGTACCTCCCTGTTTAGTTGCAGTCGGCCGCACCAAAAGTATATAAATATATATATATATATATATACCAACTCTGTTGCTTGGCTCAGTGAGCTCAGTTTTTTTATTCTTATATATTGGTAAATTCATTTGATTTAAAAATGATTGAATTATGATGTTCTTACTTCCGGTTAAAGTTTTTATCCCGTTAGTTAACAACATGCAATAATTGTAGAATTATCAGTAAGTTAAAAATTGTTTACGTGCGACTAAGCCTAATTTTTGTTTACCACAACCGCCATATTTGTTTACATTTGAAACTTATCAGAACAGTGGATTTGTTGCCGATCTAGAAAATTAACCTCCGCAACAACAAAGATAACGCCTTCTTTTATTATTGCGATTTAAACCATGCTTAATCCATTTCGGAATTAACATTTAAGTTATAAAATTATCCCAAATATTAAATCAGCATAGCGTCCAAAACAAATTATGTCAGTGTTCAAAGTTAAGGCCTTTAGTGCCTTTTTTCGAGTGAGACCAAAAGTAAACTTTCAGTTTTGCGCACGGAAAAAACCTGCCTTCTTACCCGCTGGCCGAATGGCTTGTTTTTGCATAGAAACTCGAATTTTAATTGTAAAAGTGGTTCTTTAAATTGTATTAACTGTATTTATGTTTTATATTTTTCTATATCTTTCAATTTTTTATAAAAATATTTTTAGGTTTTTTAAGTAATTTTGCCTTGTAGCGAAGTGAGACCTGAATTAATTGAATGAGAAATACATCTCTGATGAAACTAGAGGAAACAAGTTTAAATGAAATGCAGGAAAAAGTCGTATAATTTACTATTACGTACAAGGAAGTCATGTGGTACAAAACAAATTTTTTTCTATTGCATTTCGCTGGCGTTGGCGTCCTCGTTCTTTATAGAGGGACCAGTCCCTCACGGGTGGCATTCCAGATGATAGACCGAAATGGTTCTGAGTAGTATCAGTTTAAAAAAAATGCTGTTTTTTAATTGAAAAGATATTAGGAAGTTGGTGGTCTCAGTAACACTATGTTTAATATTGAGCTACTTAGAGTTTGAAGTAGGGTAACTAAGGCATGGTATATATGGCGAACTAACCATGTTAGAGTCGAGATAGGAGATAAAAGTTGTTTGTATACAAGATAAAGACAAGAATAGTGAATTGGAGTGAGTAAGTCTGCTCTTTCCTTTATTACGGAGTTGGAGAGCAAAAAGCTGTAAGGTGTATTGAAGAAAGTTGTTAACGTACAGGACTGAAGTAAATTCTGATGTCAAGTTTATATGCATTATGTATGTGATCAAACGTGTTATTGGTCATGCTAAACTATTTTCCTTTCAGTAGTCTGGAAAGACAGAGAGTAACAGTTTACACACATACAGCCCATATCTTTTAATTGTTGCATCCAATTATTGTCAAGTATACGATTACTGTTAATATGTCGTAAAAGGTTTGGCTCATGTCAGTTTTACAATTATAAAATTCGCTATTGAGGTCATTACGACCATTGTTTTCGAATTATTAAATTATGGTCACGGGAATTGTAAGGTTTTAAGTTAAATAACACATTATCTTATTATTATTATCTTTAATGTCATTCCTGTTTCTATCAGAATGCAAGTTAGTTAACGTAGCAAAAAAGAGAGTCATTTTGAAGGTAAGAAACCGAGGTTTTGATAGACACTGCTAACCTTTGTACTATTTTCAGCCAACCTAAAGCGATTGCAGCCTTTATATAGCGGTGTTTTCTCGCGCGTTTAGAGGGTCTGAGTTAAAACTTGCAGAGGGATTTTGCCGTGTGAATTGCATACTTTAAAGTTTTACTATGACGTTTATGAGTTGTAGGATCCCGAATACAACACTGAATGTTTTCATAACACACGAACTGTGAAAATCGTAATTCAAAATGATTTGTTTTCTTCTGAGTTTACAGTTATCTGTCTGGAATTTAAGATAGGACCATAAGTCGCCTGTCTGTCTACACGGAGCCAGAGTTTAGTTTTAAAATACTCTGGTTCTATATAAATTTTCAGTGTAGTTCATCGTTGGTTTTTCAAAGAATGTCTTCTAACATAGATCCCAACCGTACGAAAAGAATAACTGTATAGTTTTGTTGTAAAGGGAGGAAAACAAAAATGTTTCAAACAATTTGCGACAGGAGATGAAATTTCGTGCTTTGTTTATAATCCTGAGATGAAACGGCAATCGTTTGTTTGGATTGGAGAAGATTCACACGGCCACATGTAAACGTTAGTTTCAGATTTCTCACCTAAGAAATCTGGTGGTGAATTTTTTGATTGAAAAGAGGTAACTTACAAAGAATTTGTTTTTCAGGGGTAAAAGATGAGTGCCATGTTTTGCAAAGACATAAGAGGCAGACATCTGAAGAAGGCCTGGAAGGGTTCAATCGAACAACTGGTTTGTCCTGTATGATTATGGACAGTTACTCGATTTCACGCTCATTAATATTTCCTTGCAAAGCAAAATGGCACAATTCCAGACACTCTATTTTTCCCTGCTTTGTAAAATATTTTCTATTTTATAAAATTAAGTGTCACATCCTACATCAAAATATGTGTCACATTACTTTAATAATCTGAAAGAGATTCGAAAAACCGTAATAGAGACTTCAGCATTCTAAAAGACAAGTTCTGCAATGGAATCAGGTATTAATGTGCGAATAGATATATAGATTTATAATAATGGTTTCTTGAACTTTCAGTTTTGTGCAAACTTAATCCTAAAACTCACAGCATAGATAAATAATAAGCACGGAATGCTTGGTTGTCTAAAATATTAAAAAATAACACAAGATGCTATTCATGATTGAAGTTTTCTGAAACTGGAAAAAATGAACTTTTAAACATTTTTCAGGTGAACAGCTAACAGATAATTATTTACGATACTCAAGTTTTATTTATATTGAGAAGCAAGCTAATTATTTCAATCTAAGGGCAATATAAGAAGGTGAATTATAATAAAATAATTTCCGATGGCTTTAAATTAAATAAGTAAGGAAGTAAGGTTAAGTTTTAATATATAAGAGAAAAATAACTGAAAACATATGGTATTAGTTCTGTCTATGGTGCCTTTGGTTGCCAAATAAATAGATGCAGATGTAGACATACTTTACAAACAGTCATCTGGGTTGTCGACACACATCGACAAGTTAGGTAGACAGCAGCTCTGCAAAAAGACAAAGGTAAAGTCAAAAACACATGTACAGGGAGTGTTATAAAATTTTACACAAAATTTATTGTAAAGAATTATTTAGTTTTAAACTATCCAGTTTTGTTCAGTTACTTATCTTTTCTAACTTCCCTTATCTGCATTTCCTGCCAGAATGATATTTCAGTTTCCCATGATATGCAAAGTAGGGTAGAAAGATAATATTTAAGCTGGTGTCTGAGTCACTTCAGACAAAGCGTGTTCTGTGGTTCTCCACGTTGTTTCCTTGACTTAAGCTTGCTATTTTATTTTGTGGCCGTGCATATTAATTGTCGGTTTGATTACGTCAGTGGTAGGGCTAAGAGCTAACTTACATTAATTATCTCTGTTCAGATTCGGCTGATTATTTCATTTAGTATTAATTTTATATTTCTACTCTGAGTTGCAGTCAGAAATATTGGCTAAATTATAAGCATCTGTATAGCCGTCTGTAAATTCCTTCTTGAATCGGATAAAAGGGACTTTTCACCCTTTTTATGTCTTGTCATTGATACAGTTTGAACTTAATGAATTGTCTCTTTTCAGTTCAATTAAAGATCTAGCCAGCAAAGTAAAGTTAATTTAGTAAAAATCTTACAATATAACAAGATATTTTTTCATAATTTATTTTAGTTTCTAGAGTTTCAGATGCACAATGGATATCGTAATTCTCAAACATAGTCCCATTAAATGACCATACTTAAATGAAAGCAAAAAAAGAAACACTCTCTAGTTGATTGTCATGGAACCAAAGCATTTGGGCACTACGACAGATTACCCGCTAAATGGAAGTGAATTGGATACTTCGTGTGAAGACAATCGCTAATAGTTTCACTCCGAATTTCATTTCGACTGTGGTAACGGACGTTGTCTAAAAAGACTACAAAGGGACCGGTTTCCATTTTTCCGAGAAGTTACGGATATAATCACATTCTCAAAGTTCCGCAAGGCAACAGGAAGTGACTCCATCACGGGCAAGTTGTTGAAAAGGTCTGCCGCATAGTGTCATCTGCAAATTCATCTGTATATACACGTATGCCTCAAAAATTGTCTTTTCCCTCAAATCTGGAAGCATACCGTAGGAAAACCTACCTGATGATAAGGAAAAAGAAACGTAAGATCTGTAGATAGAAGAGACTGCTATGCTGTCCAGCTGGTTAATAGAGTGCATACAATAAAGGTATCACAATTAAAGGCAAGTATGAGTCAATAGGGCAGCATAACAAATTATAAAATACTTCATTCCATTAAAATAGCAAATACTAAAACTCAAATAAAAATAAAAATAAAATAAAAGAAAAAAAGAAATTTAATACCAAGTGCCAACAAGTAAAATACCTCAAATATACATCATCAGGTACTTAAATTAAACTACTAGTATTCCCGTCACTGAATATTTCTTCAAAAATATTGACCAACAGAAAATTTTGTCTGATGGAGTTGGAGCTGCGTTGATTTGTCTAAGTCTTCGCGAAATATTTAAATAATGTCAATGATGGAACATTCTGTAAATAATTTCTTAATTTCAGCAAATACGGTAAACATGTAAGTAAGAGTAGAAGCAATGCTCTCCGCGCTGTTTCCATTTTCCTTCATGGAGGCTGTTTTTTTCTTTAGATGTACGAACTTTAGTTGCATTTTCCGGAATTTCTTCCGCAACATTATGTGCTCGATTTATCGCAGCGTCACCATGTAGTCCTGAGTTGTCAGGTTTACCTGAAAACGAAATACAGTTTTAAAATCAGCCTCTCTGTTTAACTCTGAAACAGCTCAAAAATCGAACTTTGCAGAAATTGTTACACATTTGCTCCCCAGTTCTGTGCAGGGTAAGAAAACGTTAAGGATAACTATTTGTCAAAATAGCGTTTTAAAATTAAGTAAAAGTATCAATTATCCTATTCTCAATTTATCATAAGTGCACAGTCATTTGGTTTTAGTAGTTAGAAAATAAAACTGAAATCTGGAATATTTTATAAGATGAAATAAAACGTATTTATGGATCGAAGTAAGGTACATCCTAGTATCTTGCTCCAGTGGAAGTAAGATACATTCACTAGGACATCCTAGAGTTTATAAGAGACAATGATTAGACTGATTGAACCAAGATAAATGTGGAAATTCAGACTGCCTTTTTAAGTATACTTACTCTAAATGACTGAATTCCAACGAATTCGCCGTATTTCATTGGATTTTTGCCCGTCTCCTCCTGAAAAACAGAGGAAATATTTTAATTCTACTATTTAAGCCTTAAAATTAATTTTTATTTCCTGTATATTATTAACGGCATGAGAATTTTTGACAAAATGAATTCTCCATCAGAGATGAATTTTTAGGAATGTCACTCTTACAGAAAAATCTCGCCTTCAGCAGAGGTGACGTCCTGCGGTTAACTACTAGCAAATGTTCCTGCAATTTGAAATGGCAATTTCATCTTTTATAGTAGTAGAGAGAAAATTTTATCAGTCTATTTAAATCCGATTGAAAGATCGATATTTTCTAGTCCTTCTCTACAACGGGTTGGGCCCTTCTGTTCAAACCTTTGAAGGAACGTTCAAAGGCTTCTAACGTCCCTTCAGAGGTTTGCTGAGGCTGTAACTCAGATGGAAGTGATGCCACGCGACATTTGGAACCATCTTAAAAAGTACTACCATTCTAACTGTTAAAGATTAAGTGTGTGTATATTTCCTGCGGTATTTTTTATCCACTAGGACAATCATGATACTTAGATTCCGTCAATCAATAATCGTGTGCTTTCAGAAGGACGACATCACCAATATAGCGACATGCCTGGTGGCATAACTACTACCTTTTCATTACGGTATCTTGTTACTGACTTTATAAGGCATTTTGTACCTTTTTGCACTCTTTCAGGTTGTGATTGGAAGCATACTTGATGCGTATTCTAGAAGTCCAGGATTCGAGTCCCAGAAAAGGCATCGCAAATTGTCTCTTGTTTTAAAAGAACGTAATGACTCTACAAGGGGTCCCGGAACTAAATGGTGGTGGGATATAGTTCGTCTCCACCAGGATTTGGCGACTTTGTCCCCTAATCCCCAGTCGCCCTTTAATAGAGGGAGTATATAAGCTATTTTCTCCCTTTTTTTCGCATGCCTTCGTGGTGTATTTGGAAGCATACTCGAAGTGTATTTGAGAGGTCTAGAGGTCTAAAGTTCGAGTTACGGCAAGAACATTGCACATTTTTCACGTCTTCCCCTAAACAATCTTAATAATTCTACAATATGATGAAATAAAATTTTATTAAAATTACATTTTGCAGGGGGACAATACTTACAACTCGAAGAGCATTTGAGAGGTCTAGATTTCGAAGCCTGGCAAGAAAATTGCACATTCTTCACGTCTCCTGTCTCAAGAAAACCTAATGACTCTACAACGTAATAAAATTAATTTAAAATTAAATTTTAGAAGCTAAACAATACTCGTAACTCGATATTTTGACAGTGCTTGAACAGATCGTTAAATATTTATGAAATATTTAGTATCACATCTAACAAAATATCTCGAAAGCTATTTTCGTCGATTCGACTGCGTAAAACTAATTGGAGTTATAATCTTATTATTTTAAAATGTTAACTTCAGAGTCATTTTCCACAGCGCAACCTGCCTCGAAACCATGGGAATGATAGCTGCAGTAGCTGACTCGAGTCGCCTAATTTTACTTCTTCATTCCATTCCCGTCTAGCTCGTTTTCCCTTCGTGAAAAATGTGCGAATAAAGATTGATTTAAACTACAATCCACAGTGAGGTGAAGAAATATAAGTTCTGTACGATGATGACGGCACGCATTGAACGGTGATGACGATACGCGTTACGACCGCAACTGGGAGACCGTTAGCCTTGTATAAATGTTAAGATATAGAAATTTTTTATAAAGCTTTAGTAGTTTATTAGAATTAAGAGGTAAACCCTGCGAATTATTAATTACTTTACTATGATTAAAATAAGTCGTACTCGGTGCAAATCATGCTACTTAACACTTTTATCTTTGTTTTATCACCCAAGATTATTATACTAACTGACTACGAATATAAGTACATGAATAACATAAAAAATTCAAATTATTTCCTACTATGCCGTTATAAGGTCCTGGGGTGTAAGCGGTAGCACATTACATTTTGTTAACAACGGTAGACCAGTGGTTCGAAGATCCAGTTGATTTCTTATTTGCTTTGCTCCAAAATTTAGTATAACAGTCTCTACAACGGCGTTTAACTAAAACGTAATGGACCACTACTTGTATTCACCAAATACATAAACGGTAATTGTATCTGAGTATACTCATCAGCACTAGTATTTTGGGATTGGAACTCTTCTTGTCCAGCTGCCCTTTAAGTGGGACAGATTCCAAGGAGTATCCGCCTTTTCTACTGCGTGGTCTCTCACAGAAAGTGGCAGCATATACGGCTAACAATCGAAAGATCTGTGAGCAAGGACACTGAGGCGAGGACATAGTTGATTTTTAAAGCTCCTGTCTTCGAAAATAACACCTCACAATTCTACGCTATACCAGCTTGAACAGTGCCTTGTTGACAAAGTAATCTTACCTAACTATAGCCTACTTTAAAATAGGCAGTTCAAGGCCATTGCCACTCTTCCCTCCTGATTTGCGACTGTAACTTGCGTGGTCATCTCTGTTCAGGATTTATATTCTCTATCTCATTTGAGACTGTAGTTGAAGGCTGTAGAAAATAAGCTTGAAGTTAAAAGTTTCTGTTTTTAATGAACCGGCTTACAGATAGTTTACTACAGTTTAAAAGTCCGATGTGTACACTACATGACTTCCTTATACGTAATATTAAATTATACCCGTTTTTTTTTTCCTCCATTTCATTTAAACTTATTTCCTTGAATTTCATTGGTGATATATTTCTCTTTCAATTAATTCAATTCTCATTTCGCGACAAGGCAAAAAGACATAACCTTAAAATATCTTTTTTTAAAATTGAAAAATCTAGAAAAATATGAAAAACGAAATACAATTAAAACCATTAAAAAAAACTTTTAGATTTCAAGTTAACAGCTTCTCCACAAAAAAAAAAAAAAAAAAAAAAAAAAAAAAAAAAACACATACACACACACACACACACAAAAAATTTGGTCAACGAGCAAGAAGGTAGATTTTTCGTTGCACAAAACTGAAAGGTTATTTTTGGTTCCATTCGGCAAAAAAACACTGAAGGTGCAGACACTGACTTAATTCATTATGCTGCTAAGTTTCAAATGTAAACAAATATGACTGTTACGGTTGAAAAAAAAAAAGCTAATGTGTACACCACATGACTTCACTGTACGGAATATTCAAATATATGCATTTTTCCTGCATTTCATTTAAACTTATTGAATTGAATAAAATCTACTTCACCAACAACGTATAAAGCGCAGCAGAATAAATGCATTCTTTCAAATTCACTGTGTTTATTTAGCACAGCGATACTTTGGCGGTAGGTTTACTTAACAGCGTTTCATCTCATTCATTTTATAACTCAGCATGCTAAAAAATTATATCATCTGAAGAATTATCTATCGTTGCCGCATGTTTTATTCAAATAATATAATAAGTCTAAAACGATGCATAAATGAAATTAAACAAATAAAAAAAACAGGTTTTCACAGACGATTCAGTGCCGCGTACCTAATGCGCATGCACTACTCATAAACATTCGCCTCTGTCCGAGACAGAATGGCGACAATATTTGCTGCTAATACGAAAGACTTATTTCCTTGAATTTCATTACAGAAATGGAAAATTCGAAGATTATCGCAATCAAAAACTACCCTAGGCCAAATAGCGCAAAAAAACTTGCATCTTTTCTCGGAATGTGCTAATATTACAGATTCTTTATTAAAAATTTTGCACATGTAGCTGAGCCTCTTTTAACACTAAAAAGAAAAAAAGCAAATTTTGGTGGACGGAGACCAATACTGCATTTAAACAGTTAAAAACAGCTATAATGTCAGTACCAGAGCTAAAGATTCCTGACCAAGAAATATCTGCGGATGCATCAGACTTTGCTGTGGGCGCCGTTTTATCCCAAGGGGGGCAGCCAGTAGCTTTTTTAAGTAAAACGTTGAATCCCAACCAAAGGAATTATGGGTAAGGAATAATTATGGGTGAAATATTAATACGACAGAAAGTGAAACACTAGCTGTATTACTGGTCGTACAAAAATTCCATGTATATTTCGGAAAGCAACTCGTAACAGTCTACAATTACCATGCTGCTATTCTTAGACATTACTCAAGTAAAAACTTATCACCTCGTAAGATGAGCATTGAAACTGCAGGAATATAATTTAGTCTTGAAGTATTTACTGGGGAAAGAAAATATCGTTGCGGAGGGTCTGTCTCGCATTAAATTAGAAGAACAGGAGGAATCAAGTTAAGTGCACAATGCTGACGTCAAAAGATCTTAGACTTTCGAGATACCATTATCGCTGAACTAAAAACGGATCCAGTATTTAAAAACATTTATGCATATTTACAAGATCCAGATAACTCTGAGCATTCAGATTTAAGAGTCATAAGAAACGCCCATTATGAAATAATCTTTTATAAAAGTTACCAATGAAAATAATAAACTGAAGGCCGTCTTCCCAACGAGTTTGAGACTTGGTGTCTTATATGAGTTTCATGATGCAGCGTTTTCCGGTCATCTTGGTATCAGGAAGACAATTAAACGTGTACAAGAGGAGGTATTCTTTCCAAAATTACAGGAAATTGTTAAAGAGTATGTCAGGTACTGACATATCTGCCAAATAGTTAATGATGTTAATTATCGGCTGGCTGGATACTTAAATACATTAAGTCGATTTTCCCCAATGAATTGCGGGGGGGGGGGTAGGACCTCTTAGGACCTTATCCGAAAAGCGATAAGAATAAGCGCCGTTATTTACTTGTAATTGAGATCATTTTAGCAAATGAGTAGAAATAATTCCCCTGAAAACGGCTTCCGTTAAAATAGTCGCAGATATTTTTAATAAAAAATAATAAATAAATTTATTTTTAAATATGGTTCACTATTAAAAATAATATCATATAACGGTCATCAATTGGTTAGTCAGATATTTCATGATCTATGTGCAGGGCTTGGCATACGCCACTTGAAGATGGTCCCTTATGGGCCACAATCTAATATTGCAGAAAGAGAGTCAATCGAAATATCTTTAAAATAATTCGGAATTATGTGAGAA